AGAGATGTGATTTCTGTGTTTAGGTGGCAGCGACACAGGTCTCTTTGATAGCCTGTTCTCTTGGCTGCCTCTAGCTCTCTTAGCAGCAGCAGCAGTTTGCTGTCCTTTTGACTTCGGTGACACTGTTCGCTTACAGTCTTCCAGCACCATCCTTGTGCTTATCACTCACTGCTCCAGGTGTGCCAGTACATCTGTCTGGGGTCTTGCTCTGTAAACTGTATCAAGGAACCATTCAGCTTTAAGAAAAGCCACACACACACAGACCCTAGAAGAGAAACTTTTCTTTTGGGGTTGCTTTCTTTAAAGTTGGATCAGTTCCCTGATCTCACCTATAGCGGTGACACAGACAATTGGGCCACCTACATCATGGGGACAGGACTGACTGGCAAAGGGGAAGAGTGCATTCAGTTGAAGATAACATTTTCAAACAGTGAGCTAAAGCTGCAAGGGATTGGAGGATGTGGTTAAGCGAGTCTTCATTTTCCATGAATAGTATTTTTTACAGGATCCAAGTTATCTTAGATGCCGGTTATATGCATGAAAATATAATTGTTTCTGAGTCCACATCTTTAATGACCTACAACTGTAGTACCTTCTATTACTATTCATGTCAAGTGGTACCTCTTACTATACATAACTTCATGAAAGCAGAGTTTTAGACTAGGCTGTCTGTCTCCGCGAATGTGTTAGAATACAGCCCAAAAGGATCCGTCAGGTCCTGAGGACCTTTCAGGATTCCAGGCTTTTCACAATACTGAGCTCTCCAACAAGGCTCTCAAAGCACTCTGTCACAGGCTCATTTGGTGCACACGATACATATGCTCATTCCTTTTCGGAGACACTTTACTGTGTTTAAAACAAAAAAAAAAAAACCCCACCCACTGCAAGCCTGAAAGGCTGGAAGATCCTTATTTCACTGGTTTTGTATCAATGGTGTATTTGTTGTTCATTATCTTGGAAGAAAATATGCAGAGTATTTAGTCAGCTTCCATGCATAAATATTTTGTAACTTAATGGCAAACTGCAGGATAAAGCAAATATTTTGACCACTGTCCAGAGTGAAAGAGAATGTTTATTATTGGTACTTGGGATTTCTCGCAGTGATATTAGCTGAAGTAAAGTTTAGCAGAACTCTTGATTTTTATAGTTTCAAAATCCTTAACTAGGAGATGTTGGAAAATGTTGACCCTCATGTTTTGGGGCTTACAGGAAGGATGTTTTGCAATATATTTTGGTGCCTTATGACCTTTTGTAATAAATACTATCATGTTCCTGGTTCTGTGTCTTGCAAGAGCAGTCTTCCAGGGACAATACTTCTGTGTTTGTTTGGAGTTACAGATGGAACTGGTATGTGCAGAATTCTCTTGCTCCTTTCTCATTTCCGTACAAATGCTATTTTACATTTCTACATCTGATAGTTAAATCCAAGATATATCAATTTTAAAACAGTAAGGATCCTTTGACTGAGTTGTCCACTGTTTAGGACACTAATCTGAACCTCAGAAGATCCAGATTTCATTCCTTATTCTGCCACAAGATAAATGTTCATCATCTTCTAGCATTGTAATGTTCAATATACCTAGATGTGCATACGTGAGTTGGGTACCTCTGCTCCTTAAATTAAAGGATGAGGGGAGTCAGGCGCTATGGGTTGAGTATTATTGTAGTAGTATTCTTTCACTGATGGAAGAATTTCTGCTCAGTTTTGCACTTGTGGAAATTTATTTGATCTGCAGAACTTGTGTTCTCACATTGAAATAGGTTGGTTCATCAGAGAGTTTATTTTTACTGATACTTGTGGGTTGGTTCCAGACCCACCAACAGTCTGCAACTGTTCTTAAGTGCTGTACCTCTGGTAGGACGTGTGCTTGTCTTCATGAATAGTCCTGCTCTCTTCTCCCAGTGGCTTAAATTAGGCTGTTTGATTACAGGCATCGGTTCCCATTGCAAAACAAGTACTAGCAGCCCCTGTCTCACAGGTGAGAACAGTGCCTGCAAGCAGGGAGCTTAGCTTGGAGTTATTAAGCATTAATTGGCATTAAGGGGTACACAAACTGTGATTCCACTGACACTCTCATTAGCTGCAGACCAATCTCTGCTTTCTGCCCATCCACCTGTTCTAGCCGCACATTCCCACCCCATGCTGCTCCCTCTGTTAATTACATTGGATCAGTGAAAGGAAGTCTTTAAAAATGATCTTTTTTCAGGTTAATTTTTGACACAGATCAGTGTTCAGCACTGTAGCTAGTTCATCACTTAACCCTGCGCTCTTGTTGCGCTAGTACCACCAGGGCTGAGGGCAGCGAGTGGCAATAGGAACAGCTCAGGTGGGCTTGTGGCTGAACACAACACTCATGGATCCAGCTCAGTTCCACACTGATCACGTCCCACCTGAAGGCTGCGTTTGCTTCTACAGGCACCCTCTTAGGTTTGTTTGCAAGGAAACAGCAAGAGAAGATTCCTAGTCCCTAAATTTTGCCAGATGTTCAACTATGGGAGTTTGTTCATTAAAGTTCACATGGCAGCCTGAAATCCAGCGGCATATTTTGTGATCAGCCAAAGCAAGATGTCAGCTCCCTGTGCTGGCAGTAGAGGCAACCCAAAATATGCTGGAGTCCAACCAGAAGACTCCTCCTAGCAGCTGGCAAGCAATAGCCCAGGGTCATGCACAATTGTGATGACACCATAAATCATTCTACAACAGATTGTATCAAAGCTTCATGTGAGAATCCTGAGCAACACAGAATAAAAACACAAATGTTTGTAACTGCTATGGATATTCTCAGTGCTTCCACACTCAACCACATTTGTAGTTCTTGCATTGATCTGATCTTCCGTACACTGCTAATATATGCTGCACTTTTATATTTTGTTGTCAGCCTGAGACTCCAATATCAGTTTCTGCTGTTTAGAAACTCTGTCTCCCTTTAGTTTTCATTAATTCATTCAGAGAAAGACTCTGAGTGTCATCTGCTGGGCTACTTGCCCACATGGAAGTAACTCACCCTTAGCACCTAGCAGACATGTCCAGTGCTTCCTCTGACAATTTCTGGATCCTTCTGCCTCATGCAGATTTTACTAAGACTTGGAAGTACACTTCCTTCCCCAAGCCAAATTGTATATTTTTCCCCTGTTGTTTCTTCCCTAGTTAGTACCCTGTCATACTGCAGTGAAAGCGAGGATTACATCTGTAACCTTATAAATCTTCTAGCACAATGTGGCTTCAAACTACTTTGAGATTCTAGTTACTTGCTATGATAACTAGATAACTAATCATTAATAACTAATCATAAATAACTAATCATTAGAAATTGGAAAATACTATTAAATCCCTTCTGTTTGTAAATTGTGTGTAAAATTTATCTTTCGATACTGTGTTTCTCTTTCTTTCCCTTGGCATTTTATTAGGTTATCTGTATTCTAACAAAGACTTTCTGTCCTTGGATCTCAAATTCTCATCTGCCTCAATCACTGTTACGTCTTAATGATGCATGTTCTGACTACCCAGTGATTTCCTTATTGATAGATTCTGGAGATACGAGCACAAGGTCACGTCTGTCTATTAAACAGAAACTAGCCTGTGAAGGAGAGAAGATAAGTATCTACAAGAATTACTGTCAGTTGATTTGCCCCTGAAAGAGTCTGTGTGTGCTCTGGGGTGAGGGTCTGCTTGTTGCAATATTCTTATTTCTTCCAGGATAGGGAAAAATCTCCAATCCCGAAAGCAATCCACAGCACCTGGAAATATCTCCTGTATTGGTGCATCACTTCACCAGGTTTAGTTTGCAAAGGCTAATGGCTGTTCGAGGTCAGGGCATACACCTGCTCTTTCTTGCTAATGGTTCTTTGAATGCCTTGCTTGTTTGGCTTCTGTAGTAACCTTTACCAACAAATAGGTCCTGTTCATTAACCAAAGATGTGACTCCAAGCAAACACATTGGTCATGTGTATTTTTAATAATGTTTGTAGAGTTATATGCATGTACCAACTCAGGCTTGTGTCAATATCTTTGGGGCAGAATCTCCCCGGAAGCCTCAACTCCCACTGAAATCAATGGATTTAACCATGTTGGACTTGTCCCAAACTTCTGTGACTGCATTTACCATGATGAAAAGTCCCAGTTTAACACACGGGGCAGAAACAGCTCATTTTATCTGCTCCATGCCTTGACTAGCTCTGAAACTTTGAGGATGGCATTTGTGCTGCCTGAGCTACAAATAAGCAGTCTGGGACTTGAGTTTATTTCTAGTCATGCATAGGGTCAGTAGGACTCGGTAGGATTTCAGGGCTCTGATCTCACTGCAGAATCAGGGCTTAAGAACAGGCACAAATGAAACTACTCTCTCAGCAAAAACCAGATGAGGGTGTTAGATTTGTTTTCTGTTTTTTCTTCCTTAAGACAGTTTGAGAAAGACATAGATTGACAGTGGTTAATATTTGTGGGGACTGTGGAGAAAGTGAAGGTTTAGGGTGAATTTTAATAAACAGCATGAAGTTGGATTTTTTTTGTCTTCCCCTTCTGTGGTTCCTCCACAGAAGAATAATTTGAATCTGTATTGACCTTGCTGCATGAGAAGTTTAAAGAGAAACTTACTATGAATTAATTTAAAATTCACTCTTTCTCTTACTTTTCCCAATTGCCTTTACTGTGGAAATTAAATATGAGAGAAAAGGTTAGTAAAATGGAAGACGCTAGTATGGGCTTTCCACACCATCAACCAATGGCTCGTATGAGTCTACAGGATGGCTCCAGAGGGTATATTAATGGAAAGGTAAAACAAAAAAAAAAACAGAATTACGATACCTTGTCCTTTTGCTGTATCTGTGCATGCGACGATTTTTCTGTGCACTTTTCCAAACTATAGTGCGAGATGTGTCACAAGCCTAATTGTATAATTTTGTACTATAACTATTAGATATTCCAGAAGGAAGTATTATATTGATTGTCTGCTGACTATTTGAATTGCAATCCCAGATAAAGTTACTGCTTGTTTACAGATTCCAGTCCTTTGAGGCTTGGTCTCGTATAAACGGAGACAAAATTCTTGAGTGTTGCAAAAGCTTAACACAGGCTGCAGATTCCCATTGTCGGTCAGACAGTTATTGTTCAGCCCAGTGCTTGCATCTGCACAGGCGTGGAAAAGTAGCCCACCTAACGGTATTTTAATGTTGGTAATAACTGTGGAAATTTTGCTAAAACATTGAAAGTTATAAAAGTAATGTGAGCGCAACTATCAAATTGTGTTCAATAGAGCTGTTATGTAACTGGAAACTCTAGAAACCCATGATAGTACTACTATGTCTAAATTACAAGAACAGGGCTTGATCCTGTAAGTGGGAAGCACCTGAGATTTACTCCAGAATACCTAAGTTGAAGATACCTCTGCTGAGCCATAGTGGCTCCTTTGATAGACTTTCTGTGGAGCCCAGGGACATGGGCATCCTCCTGCTCTTCCAACACAGGTCTGCCCCGAGGTGCCTTCAGGCTGTACGCTGCACTGCTGCAGATGCTGAGCCACGCTGGTCGCACAGACACTGTTGTCTGACCTCAAGCCATTCCCGTGGCCTTAGTTACAGACTGTATTGTGAATGTTTAGTGATCTTGATGGTAGCTGCAAGGCACCCTTAAAAGACAGCATAGACCTCCCCAGTAAATGTCTTCCAATGTAGGAACGGTGCTGTTACCTGCCCTGTTCCTGCTTCCCCTCCTGCTATTTCCCACAAGGACCGTTTGCATTCCAGCGGTGGGAGGAGCAACACAGGACGTGTTGTTTCAGGTATTTAGGATCCTCCAGAATGAAAAACCAGGCAGAAATACAAGCTTTCATTATTGTCATTCAATATTGCTACGCTATCGCCATTGCAAAGTGCAAATGCAGAGCACTTCTGAAGATCAGGCTTCCCATAGTGGGGGTCTGGAGTTGGAAACCTGATTCCTAACATGTATCCTCCTGTGCTCTGGCTTCCCCATCACTGAAATGGCAATGGCAGCTGTAATATTAAATACTTCAAGACCTCTGTGTTACTGATGTCAGGCGGTATTCCTAATGAATGGAAGACCGCATCCAAATGTCGTTCTTCCTTTGCTTTCAGGCTGTAGCAAAGCTGATGTCAGTGGATTGCCGTTGTCATGGTGTTTCTGGGTCCTGTGCTGTGAAAACTTGTTGGAAAACAATGTCCTCCTTTGAAAAGATTGGCCGTTTTTTAAAGGATAAGTATGAAAACAGCATACAGATATCAGACAGACTGAAAAAAAAGCTACGCAGGAAAGAGAAAAGCCAGCGAAAAATACCAATTGGGAAAGAAGACCTGCTGTATGTGAACAAATCGCCCAATTACTGTGTTGAAGACCAAAAACTGGGGATCCCTGGGACTCAGGGAAGGGAATGTAACCGCACCTCAGAGGGACCCGACGGCTGCAACCTCCTCTGCTGTGGGCGCGGGTACAACACCCACGTTGTCAGGCACGTGGAAAGGTGCGAATGCAAGTTTGTCTGGTGCTGCTACGTGCGCTGCCGGAGGTGCGAGACCATGACCGACGTACACACCTGCAAATAAGATGAAGTACAGAAAACACGGCCAAACCATCCCGCATTTGGTACACACAACAAGGCAATAATTACTCTTACCATGTGGGATTGCAGGGGGATCAGCCTCAGGGGGAATGGGTATTGCCAAACAATGGGTAGTCCAAGCATTTGGCATATGAAAGAGCAACTGAGTGAACAGCAGCCTGCACGCAGGGACAGCTAAAACAACAAAAAAGGACTCCCGATGACACATTTGTACATGTAACTCCATGAGCAGGGACAGGCACTAAACTTTCCAAGTCTTTAATAGCCACAACGTCCTGAAGATCCATGTGGTCTGTAGGTACAGTGGAGAAAACTCAAGATCTTGTTAGCTAGAGACTGAAGAGTTAAGAGAGCACGTAAGACACATTAGATATAATCCTTATGTCTGTATTTTTAAAACTGGGACTAGATGGATCCACTAGATGGTTCATTTCTGCAGGCTTTAGAAAAAAACCCAAAGATAGGGGAAATGTTCTGCTGTTGACCATGAAGCATTTGCTTTGCAACTGTTCGGAAAGCTGTCTTCTGCATAATATGCAGAAAAGCGTCTAGTACTGAGAAACATACGTGACTGCAGAGAGCTGGGCACTGCCTGGGTGGAAAAGGAGGGCCCATCAGCGTGGAGCAAGCTGTGTCCAGAGTAGAGGGGCTGGAGCACAGCTTGATGAACGTGAATGGTGTACCAAATAGCAACCTTGGGATTTTTTATAGGTTGTCTTTCAAACACACAAAGGACAGGTCTGAGGAGGGACAGAAATACAGTTTGGTATTTCAAGGAAACAAAATCCTTCACAGGCATTTCCTCAGTATCTGAACACACAATTTGCGAGTCAGACGGTCGTCACCCCACTGTTGGACTGTACGCAATAACCTGCCACGTTCAACCATCTTGCTGGTGGTTCACCATCATTTTCACAATTAACCGTATGAGATTCAGCCCAAAGAAATCTGCCATAAAGCGAAAGATTTTTTTTAAAACATTGCTTTCTCTTATAGAAGCAGCAGCTAGAACTTTTCATTGGGTTGCACCCCTAGTAAGTTCAATGCACAATGTAATTTATGGGTTGGCTCACACCACTAAAATATTTAGTCTGTTATTGATAACATTTTCTCCCCCTCCATATGTTGGGTCAATTTTATTTTACATCTGTGAAATGTTGTTTATTTTTCTGCAATGATTTAATGCCTGGCTTAAAAAGCATCATGTGAAAGGATTTCTGTTGTTTAAATGTGCAAAGACCTATTTTTGATAAGACAAGAAAGTTTATATTTTGTAAATATTTAAATTATGCAAGTTATGTAAAAGGTTTCCAAAACTAATGTGATAAGATTACAGCCTTTGGCATTTGTTGGTTAGATATTTGTTACTATTGTAGTAGCCTTTAATTGATTTTTATTTGCATGTGCAGGGGGAAATTAATCAGAGAATTACATAAATGTTCCTTTTTTTACCATCAGGGTGGTTATAATTATTGCAGTTAATACACACTGATGAGAAACACTATGATTTTCTAAATGATCAGTTAATTAATATTCTGTATACTTTTTTTATTCTTTTAAGTCCATTTTACAAACAGTGAAATCCTGGCTCCAGCAGTAAGTGCACAACTCTCACTGACATCAAGGGGACTTGCAAGGGTTTGCAATCCCTTAACTTGTTCTACACTAACAGTCAGTTTTTAGAAAGAAATCATCTTAGACAGTTTGGTTGAGGCTTTCAAAGTTACTTTGAGGAATTCATTTCCTAGTTGTCAATTATTTTCCCATGAAAGATGGTGACCAGATTCCCTGTCACTCTTTATTGGATGTGTAGGTCAGGAAGAAGCAAACAAAATCTTCTGTGTTGTGGTACTTCACTGCCTTATTTGGAGTATCTTAGGAACATCAGTTCAGCAACCAAGAAGTTCTTTTTCTGCTGGGTCTTTTTCGACCTTCCCTCCGCATTTGGCCAGTCTGTCTCCATTGACCTAGCCAGATAATCATCCTGAGGCCACAAAATCTGCTGTCTATGGGAACGGTGCTCAGTGTGCCAGTCGCTGTCACAGGAGGATTCAACACCCTCCCTGTGAAAACTTGGATGGGGAGGGCACATCCTGGTGGAAGACCCTGAAGAGACAGTTGTGAGCCCCAGGTTGTTCCCATCTTCCAGCAATGAAAGTAAACCCACAGGCTGTGCCACAGCACCTAGTGGCAGCATGGATGGGACATGCTACTGGTCACTGTTGATACGAAGGTGTTGTAGAGACCACCTCTTTCTCTTTCTGAATCTGCCCTACGTCAAGCTGCTGGCAGAGGTAAGTGCCTCGGTACCCTACGTGAAACTGCTCCTAATAGTACCTCCACTGAGTTCAGTGTTGAGGTCACCACCATTTTGTTGTACAGGGCTCCAGCAGGAACCAGCCGCTGGGAGTTCAGTGTGGAGACCAAGTCCTTCTCGTGAAGCAGCCCTGATCTGTGTCTCGAAACTACCTTAGCTTTTACCGGACCTAAAGGTTCTTCCATGCCTGATCTGTAAAGTAAGGAAAATCACCAATGTACTTCTTGGTACGCCTTAACTTCTGGCAGGGTAGGAAATGGGGAGAAAATAGTCCTGGACTCCTGGACCTAAGGCCAGCTTCAGGGATTCGCCCAGATGAAAAAACTCAGTAGGCTGTTTCTGTGGCTTTGAAGGGGAAGGGCACTCACATCAGCATTGCACAGAGACATGGAGCGGTCATGATGCAACCAATGCAGTCAGGGTGTCTCTTGCCTGCTTGGCTAGCCAGTACTTGACACTGAGTTATTTTTGAGAGGTCATCTAGTTCCAAAAAAATATTTTTTGTTCTTAAATGTTGTTAATAAAAGAATTTTTTCTGGTTTTGTGGGGGGGAAGAGTTTATTTTTTCAAAGAATGACAAAAGACAATGAAGAGAAGTGGCAACACACATGGTTTATGAAAGCTACAATGGCTGAGCAAACAAGGTAACAGGGGTTTGAAGCTTCACTGGCAGCAGAAGGACCCATCTTGCCTTGAGAAGCTGAAGAGAGCTATTTCATGGGGGGTGGCATTACCCTTTCTGCACCGAGGGCAGAGCACTGGTGAGAGCAAGCCCATGTGGTCTGAGGGGCTGCTGCTTGCTCTCCTGCTGTACTAACATCAGGGACTTGGAGGGGGAAGCAGAAGCAAAGCTGAGTGCATTGGGGAGAGTGGAGAATGAGCCCCTCTCTTTACCTATCACAGTTGAAATTGCTGTTTAAGTTAAGCTCCATTATAACTTATCTAAGTTACATCCATAAAACTAGTTCTGGATGGGCAGCATCTGTAAAAGCAAATCTGGATGGGATCAGGATATAAACATTGTTTTGTAGTAGCATCAGGGCTAAAGGAATTAGCTGACATCTACTGCAGTATTTATTCCACAAAACTGCCTTTACTCCTTCCACACTCTGGAAAAGCTCTCCTTGGGTGAGAGCGAGAGGGAGAACCATCTGTAAGACAGTATGCCTCTGCTTTCAAAGAGGGGCCTACATATGACATAGGTGGTTCAGCTACTTTTGTGGGCAAATGGCACTGGGATGAATTTCATTCACTCCGTTTAATAGGGTGGGGCTTTTTTCCCAGCGCTGGGACTGGAGGATCAAGGTTGTTGACTTTGAAAACATAGCCTTATAATACTCTTGTATAGCTTTGCAATAATACATCCTTTCTGTTTGAAAGTAGCTACATGTGTGCTTATCTGAGCAAGTGAGATAAGAAAAAAATTTGGAAAGAAATTCACAGTTTGTGTAGGGGAAAGGTCTTATCTTAGTCCTGTTCCCTCACACTGCCCTTTTATGCATGGAGCAGCAGTTTGTGAAAAGTAGCAAACCTATGAAAAATGCCACAAGTTTACTTTTTGAAGAAAGGATAATTGTAACCTCTTCTGTAAGTGAAAATGATATATGCTATTTTGAAAACAGAAATGCATGTGCACTGGCTGCATATTTTAAGAGCAAAGTTGTGTTGTTAACTGAAATGCTGACAATACTCAGAGGAGTTACTGCAGGAATACAGCTGGTCAGTCTGTCCACATGCCAGCCTGTGCGTGCATCGGCAACTGAAGAACACCGTCTTGTCCTTGCCTGTTGGAGGTCACTTGTCAAAGGATGTGTAGTAAATGGAGATTGTCTCCATTACTATCAAAATGTCTCTGTGCTGGGCAGCACTTTTCAGTGAATGCCAAGCATGTGAAATGTGTAAAGTAAACAGCAACAATTAGCATTGGTCATTCAGAGGAAATGATGTTAAAAAGACATCCACTTTGGCTGAGGTTTCTGATGGAGCTGAGATGCTTGATTTCATCGAAGGATGAGGTTTCACAAGATAGCAAACTTGACTTTAGGGTGGTTCCTCATAGATCAAAACTGTCATGGCGAGGTCATGTAAAGTGCTGAACCCATACCAACCCACTCTGTTGGCTAAAATTTATTAAAAACATGTAAAAGGATCATCCCACTGTGGCAGACTTCATGCCAAATGAGGCACTGTTTGTCTGAGCCCTCTAACTTATGGTAGATATGACACAGGGTGGAATATCAGCAAGTATCAGAGTGGAATAAACGTTATTACTTGTTCTAGATAACCTGCCAAAAATGCCAATTGTGAATCCTCTCCTGACTGTATCCCGTCTGTCCTGCCAGGTGATCTGGAGTGCCCAGATCCAGTAGCAGTAGTAATGGTGAATGCGGTATCATGACTTTAGTTTTTCATTTCAGGCAAGGATTTGCAATAACAATTTTTAGGATTTTACACACTTTCACAGTTTTTACTGTTAGTGAATCAGGACGGGCAGAGAATAGCTAACAATACCTCACTGAGAAACAGGGCTTCACACCCATATGTCCAATGAGCATCACTAAGGAGGGTGGTAGTAGTAGTAGTAGTATTACTACAAATGGGAAACTGGGGAGAAATTACTTGCTCAAAGTCACTTGCAAAAGCAGTGGCAGACCTGGGTTTAAAAA